GCAAAAGTTGCAAATTTAAAAAAAAAAAAAAAAAAAAAAAATGCAACAAAAACCAGGGAAACCGTAATACAATAGCTAGGGATTACAATAGTGTTTATAATGAGTTGATTATGCCAAACTTAATAACCAAAAAAAAAACAAAAAAACAAATTCCACCACTAAAGAATTTAAACGGTGATTTTAATCATTTAAAGCATCATGCTTGTACGTTTTTCATAAGCCAACATGAGAGAGCAAATATACAAGAATCAAACCTTTGTAATGAACAGAATGGCATCCTCTTCCCAACTACACCTATTTGCCTTGTTTAAGAGGCCCTTACGACCAAGATCCTCCTCATTTCTTGGAGATAACATCTAGCCAAAACAATTAATCAACCCCTCAAATAATTGAAACCGAACATCTGAGCCTCAGAAAACAGCCCATTTTCATAACAATTTGTTGGTAAATCACGACGTATTCGTCCCATTGACTTCCTTCCATCTTTCACAGATTACAACTTTCCATGTAACACACAAGAATTTTCCTTTTCACATTTTCCTTACAAAAATCAAAAATAAAAAATGCCTGTTTCCAAATCAGAATCACATTATCAACATAGGTACGTACTTGTCAAAATCCATTTTGAAGCGATACCTCAAGCTTACCGTGGCTTCTTGGGAGAGTAGAAAATGGAGCCGGGTGAGTTATGCACTTCGTGTCCGAATCCATTGGTTGTAATCCCGGATTCTGATTCATCATCACTATCGATTTTGTTCGGTGTAACCCGATTTTGGTGTCCTCTACGACGTAAAAGAAAGACATTATAGTAGTAGCTAACAAGATCTTCCCTGCTCCTAGAAGGGAATGACTCAACAATCTCATCCCAAAAACATATGCCGAGAGATGGAGGGTTCGACGTCACTATATCCTCGAACTTTTTCTCATCATCTACTTTCCAAGCAAATGTAACATCTTCGCCCATCTGATCAAATCTCCATTGGAGAAACGCAGCGCCCAACTCTAGCTTTAGTCTGTGCCTTTTCTCAGCAACGTGAAATTTGACACAACCAACTGAACCAGCGTCCAAGCATCCACAAGGATCTCGCCTTCCTTTTCCAATGGGATCCCTTTCAACGGGATTTCTGTTACTTCCTTTTTTTAAGTTTAAAGGCCATTCTTGAGTTCCCAACCACTTCAAATTGCTGTTGGATATCACACCATTCCATTCTGGTATCTGAGCTTGATAATCTGGCCCTAGGAGAACGGGCTTGTACTCATCTGATGAATCTGAAGGTGAAGAATCACTTGATTTAGAGACAGGTTCTTGAGATTGAACCTTCTTGTCAATGCTTAATCTCTTCCTAAGATTGTAAATTGGAACCGTATCGTTATCATACATACAAGGATGCATCCTCTGATTTCTCTGCAAAATAGGGAAGATCAAATGAACCTGATAATAAATTATGTCAAAGACGTTAAGTTCGGTGATAGTAAATTACCCAGCCTTACAACTCCGAATCCTGCCAATAGTTGGCTTCCCTTACACTCTAATTTCATCCCCCTTCTCAATTCTCATCATATATCCTTTCTTTTTTCTTCTGTAATATGTTTATTTATCATGTTGTTGTGAGGTTAACAAGTCCTTGAGAGACAGGGAGGCCTCTCCTCCCTCTTCTTTGTATAACTTATCCTTTAAAAAAACCATTATCACTCGTTCTCACACTCACTTTATCATTATCATTAGATACCATACTTATTCAATTCTTCTCAATTCTCGACCGAGACATCACTATAACACATTACTCTAATCCACTGTTACTAGGCGCTATGGAGCTGAAGTAACCCATGTCATATTCCCAAGAAAAGCTCAAACAACTTTCAACAAAAGGGTACCTGTATCCGAAACCGTCACAGGTGGGAAGGTAGAGAATACCTAGGGGCGCAAGACAATTCTCTCTAAGGAAATTGGCAAAATAGCCCCGTTAACTTTGGGAGAAAGGGTGCCTCCTAACAAAAGGGGTTGCAGTGACCAAGCTCGGGGACTGTTTACCAAAAACACAAGTCTCCGCAAAGTCGGTATGGGGGCTAACGCCTGCCCAATGTCGAAAGGTCTACGAAATTACAAGTACATGTCTATAAGATTAGAAGCATAATTTTTGAATTTTCAAGTTTATGCCTATAAGATTCTTAAAATTTAAAAAGTGTCTAAGAAATGTCATCTTTGAAACTACAATTTTGTGTCAAAGAAGTTTTTGAATTTTGTGTTTAACATATTTATGACATATTCAAAGTTTTTGAAAATAAATTGATTCATTAGTTATAAAATTAAATTTTATGTCAAATAGGACCTCAAACTTCCAATCTTGTAATAGTAGCATTCAACATATTAAAAAGAAAAAAAAGGAGAGAACAAAATACTATTGCAAAAAATTTTAAAAGATTTTTTTAAAAAAATTACAACACCTATAAGTACCATGAAGACTAACTTTCAAAAACAAGTTTGTGTTTGAAAATTTGGTTGAAAAATTCTAACATTTTTTAAGAAAGATGAAAACAATTGTAGAGAAATGATGAGAAAAAAAAATATACAATTTTGAAAAACAAAGAACCAAATGATTATAAAGAGAAACAAATATAATTTATACGCTTATTTTTCATAAACAAAAAATCAAGTCGCTAGGGCCTAAATAATTATCAAATTGGCCTTTCGTAGTCCTTAGGGTTGAATGAGACTATTTTGGTGAATTGTAGTTTTCTTGATTATGTTAGTTGAATATTAGACTTAATATCCACGCTCAGGTTTAAGGCTAGATTTTGATATTTTAATGGCTGGATATAAATAGTTTTTATAGTATTTTACAGGTGTTTTCTACAATTTACTAGTTGGTTCGTGAAATTATTTCTAATTAAACTTGGAGGAACCAATTTCATCACTTATTTAAGCTCAAGATCAATTTTACAAAATAACAGCTAACACTCAATAGTACCTTCATACGGTGATAAATAATATTCTGAGTTGATATGAAGGATTCTATAGTTTTATATTCACACAAGACCATTAAACCATTAAACATATAGAAAGGACACTACAGAAATTCCTAAAAGATACAAAGGTTCATAATACTAAATAACCAACTAAACTAGATAGATACTATAGATCAGATGAAAGCAAATTATTGTAGTAACTCGATGATACATTTTAAGATTATGTCTTACTTCCATATTGGCCTTCACAATGAGAATCTTTGCAGTTTACAAGGAACAGAACACTATTTAAGATGTAAAGGGATACCAATCAAAATGCATAGTATGAAAATCATATCAAGACGGAGAGAACAATGATATGAAAAACAATAAAATACTGAAATCAGTTCGAAAAATACTACAATCAACTTATATATCATGGGACAACGAGAACACACAGAACTTAATACAGGCACAGATATAAATAGCATTTGATTCTTTATAGGGATAAAGATATACTATAAACAACTTAAGAATTTATGAAAAGTACCTGCAAGAAAGATTGCTCGCTACTTGCATCGACTCGTCTTTTTACAAAAAATTCCTCTCGAACTAGCAAAACTTGTTTCCAAACCTCTTCATTTCCATGTGATTTCCATTTTGACTTTTCTGGTAGTGAACATATTGATGGATCACAAGGGTTTCTTGCAACATCTTTCAGCCAATTTAGCAATCCCAACATCGGTTTCTGCGTTCTCTCCAGGACAAAATTTGCTTCCTTGACCGAAGGTGGATCGATAACTTTTATATCCTCATTTTTGATGGTGCAATGATCAATATCCTGGAGTTTCTTGCTTCTTTGAGGAAATACAACCCCACTCTTCATCCTATCACTCTTCATATCAAATATTCTCTTGGAAAAATCTGAAATTGAATTTTCGTCAAAGCCAACACAATTCATGAGCTCATCTGACAACATGACTGCAGTTTCCTTTTAGTTTCAACCCAATTCACGACCACTACAAGATGCTACCACTCCTTTTGCTGAATTTTCGCATAGCAATTCCCAATTGCTAGCTCCATTCCTGTCACCACCATCCTAGCACTACAACCTGCACGCCAAACCTAGATGTGTAGGTAACTCAGCTTCCTTCTTCAGATCAAGAATCTCTGAGTTTTCTGAACTCAGCAGAGTTCTTTCTATCTTTGTAACATCCAGAGCTCAAACTGCAGCCTCATTTCTCCACAACTTACTCCCAACACTCTGTATCCAAATATTTGATTTAATATAACTTCAAAACTGAAGCACATTCAAATCCGATCAAGATTTCCTACACAATCAAAGTGAATCCAAAGTCTAGCATGTAACCCTTCCCTTTCAAACTGTTCGGCAGCACCGTCTAGTACAACTCAGACACATCAGCTATCACCCAACACCTGCCATAAATTGGAATTCAAGCCCTATTAACCAAATGCAATCACCCTGGTTCCATATTCGCCAGAGAAGACAAAATCACACCAAGCTATAAGGATCTTAAACAAAAAATAAATCTCAGGTCATATAATTTCGAGAACACGAAAAGATGGCATAAAATCAAGTGGATGAAAAGATCAACTAATCGGCTACCACTAGTTAACTATCAGCGATTGGGTTCGACGATCAAAATTTTGGCGGGAAAACAAGATTTGGTAGGGTTTTTTGAAATCTATGAAAAAAAGTTGAAGCATCCATACATCCCGCCATCAGCGTCATATTTGCAGATATATTGAGAGACTAGAATTCAAAAATGATGAACAAATACAGAGAAGTGTACACCAAAACAAAGAAAATAGCGGGCAGGTTCAATGGTGATTGGAAGAGAAAGGAACGTACCTGTTCATAATTCTTTTGTTTTGGAAAGACTGTGTCTACTTCTACTGCAACTATGTGTACTGCCCACCACATCCCTTAAAGCTTCACCAGTTTTGGCTTGTTCCATCTCTTCCTTGTTGCTCTGTCACTTGGCCCTTTGTATTTATTTCTCTTTTTTTTTTTTAGGGTATTTTGTAGTGTTCTTGGATAAAGATACCCAAAAGAAAATGGTGGTTTTTCTTTTTAGGGTTTTGTGGGAAAATGCTCCTCATGTTTATAATCCACTTGATGAAACTAACCTTGGTTTCGAATTAACCTTGGTTGAGTTTGGGAGTGTGATGAGGGTTACTTTTTTTTTTTTAATAATATTTGAAGGGAGGATTTTTGAAATTTTGATTTTGTTTTTTTATTCTATTCATCGATCAAATGGGTTGACTAAGGATCTTTGTATGACCCGATAACCGGACCAATCCAAATTATTAAATCCAAACTATAAAAGTTGGGTTGATTATTATTTTTTTTTTTTAATTTGGGTTAGGTTGAATTTTTTAAAATTTTAAAATTTTAGGTCACCGGTTGATATTTTCGGTCAGGTCAACCTGACTAATCCGAAAATAGGATTTTTTAAAACTAATTAAAAAAATAATCCAACAATCCAACCCTGAGTTTCGAACTCTATTTGAGTTGTTTCAATCAATCCAAAATGTTAAGAAACAAAAATTTCGTAGCAATGAACAAGAGGTACACTTCAAGAAACAAAAATTCTCTTAAGTATAAGAACCAATAAAGAGAATGTTTCAAAGATTTCCTACGTTTCAATGTGGTTGTTATGAGTGATTGTGAGTTCTTTTGACTCACTAATGCACAGAGTATTTAATACTAAATTATAGTTTACTATATATATTATATTTGATATCTCATGTTACAATGATATGTATGTATGAGATGTCATGTTGTACTATGATATGACATGCTACGACATGTATGACAATGAAGAGTCTTCTGGTGCACAACCCCTAAGTAATGTTATGAATCATAAATGTATAAAAGCTTATGCATATGTTACCTAGGTTAATATGTGAAAAATGTGTGAGATTGTACAGCATGAATAATTAAGCTGAACATAACAGGAACTTCATGCATATTATATGTTCATTTACATCGGGATACTTCTTCTTTTATGATGAGTATGGACACGTTCAACTATGATGATGATGATGACTATCATGCTTGGCATGATACATGACGGTCGTTGTACCTCTGAATGTCCGACTACAGTCAACTAGCCCTATCATGTAAGCTCAAGTGGTATGCGAACCCGCCAGGTGGGCCCATATTCGTACGTGTGGGTCATGTGTAGGAAAGTACTACACATTCAATTTGTCCGGACTATAAGCCACCTAAGAGACTATGATTTTAAATGATAGGTCCCTATCCATGTTGCATATGTTTGTTTTCCTGACCTCAGTAGTGAATATCACTTAGTATTTCTTAAAATACTGAAGTCATGTACTACTTTTATATTTCAGGCAAGGCACTCCTATACAATGACAATGACATCAGATCCTTTGTGTTATTTTAAAATACTCAAGCCATGTGCTACTTTTATATTTCAGGCAAGGCATCTCTATACAGTTGACGACGGCATCACATCCTTTGTGTTATTTTAAGACCCTTTCGCAAACGTATAAGTTCATGGCATTGTTTTATGAAATTGTTTTGAATGAATGTTTCCACCTGAAGAGGTTATGTCATGCATATGGTAGCGGCTTTGTTTTAGTAAAAAATTAGGGTTGTTACACTCGTAGTTAGGTAACTTGCATCTCAAAATTAAAGTGTTTAAATCTCTTAGGGTCCATGCAAGATCCCCAAGTTAGGTTCAAAAATTCGAAATGGTTTAAGGTGACTAAATACGTTCTAAGGAAACCAATGAAAAGATTAAGAAACTAAAAAGGACAATGACTTCAATGCCCTAACAAGTTTTCACAAAGACTCAAAGACCGAAAGATTAAGCCTAAAGGTCAAAAAGGTCATTTTACAGAAATATTTTAAAAAAAAGATTTTTACAAAAAAAATTATAGATTTTTCCAAATAAAATAGCAAAAATAAAAAATTACAAAATGTCCCTAAAGTTTAAAATAATTACGAAAATTCTTCTACCATTAGATTTTCTATAAATATATCTTCAAATATAATCGTGGGATTGACCTGAAAATTCAAAATGTTCAGGAAGACTCAAGGTTATTTTTGATCCAACAGCTGAATTCAAAACTAAGGTCGAAAACCCTTTTAACGAAAGTGATTTTTTTAACGAACTATCCATAAAATTTAGGTTTGAAATTAAGTTAGTTCTAAACGATTCAAGGTCGGTCGAGACTCCAAATGGGACAAGAATCAAGTGATGAGGGTTCGTTCCTAAAACTCTGAGTTTGAAACTTTTAGATTATGGGTTTCCTTGCTCTTGAGTTTTCGAGAATTTAGGAGCTATAGTCCAATAAATTCCCTCCAACCAATTAAGGATTTGAGAGCTGAAAATGACCCAAACACGCTTACCCAATTCAAGTTTTCATAGCTAATGGAAGGAGGATTTTTAAAATTCAATTAGAGCTTACAAGAAAGTTCGTCCCTCCAAACTAGTCCCAATCAATTGCCGGGAACTCAGGGATGACGCTTCATAAAGACCATGAAGGCTCACAAGCTTGAGAGAGGAGAATTTGAGTTTTTTCAAATTTTGGTAAAATTCAAATGAATTCGGTTGCTTTCTGTACCATGAAAAGAATGAACTCTTCATCTTTGTGGCGGAAGCAAATCGGTTTAACCTTATAAGAATTAAAATAAAACAATTAATGTGAATAAACGTTTTAACAAAATTCTCCACTAGAGAGTGAGAATGCATTTTAGCTAAACCAAAAAGATTTTGGAAATAACTTTTGACAAATAATGTATTCGAATATCTATTATATTATATTTAAATTTCATAAATTAGCAAATTAAATATATTTTTCTTTATTTATATTTAATATATCTAATATATGAAATATTAATTTGAACCTGCCAAATTAAATATCTTTTTTTATTTACAATTTAAACACATTATAAGTGTCAATAATACAAAATTAATTAATTAAACTCTTTGATGAATCAATTTTCATTTATTAATTATCGGTCACTTTACGGTAGACTTATTGCAGTGTAGGACATGTCCATTGATATAATCAATACAAACAAATCAATCATTCATGAGTTGTTCATAATTACAGGATCAAATGTTCATTTTACCTGTGTAGTTACATCTTTAAGCTCAAGTATCACTAATTTTTTGATGAATAATTTATTTATGATCTAATTATAAACCAAGTCACTCTCGGACCAATAAGAAGGCAGGACCCTATTGTTCAAGTCAACTCATCTACTTTTCTTTATATGGAAATGATTGAATTTCATATCGTGATATTATGTTTTTAGTTCTCAGTTTAGTCAAGTCTCCAAAATGATAGACATATTGAATGAGTTACAAGAGTCATTCTCACCTATGCAAATTAAAGAACAATCTCTCGCAGGTAAGAGTTCATGACTCACTCTAAAATTACGGTTGAGTCGCATATGATCAATTAACGAATTTATATAGAGATTAAATATTTCTTGATCCCCAGTCTTATACAAACTCATTTTAAACCAAGTTAGGGGTATAAATTAGAGCTTAGTAAAAATGAATAAAATACCTCTAATAATTAACTCTATGATTTATGCATTTTAATGATTCCAATGGGCTAGAAGTTTAATGACTTGTGCTGACTTTTGGGCCTTGAAAGTTATCGTATCACACTTAGGTTTATCTCCTAATTTCAGATAAATCAGGAGGTTCCTCTAAGTCAAGATAGGTTTAGGTTCGTTCTTGATTTTCAAGTAATTAGATTACTACCACAAGATAAGCTTTAGAGTTAGTCCTTGGTTCTCAAATAACCAAGAGACTACCCTAACTCAAGATCAGCTCAAGATCAACAACTGATCTTTCGATGTTACCTCAAGATAACTTTAAGATAGCTCTTGATTTTCATTTTCAAGCGATGAGGAGGCTATCATATATCAAGATGAGCTCTAGGATAACTCTTGAGTTTCAAGTAATAAGGATGTTGTATCAAGATAAGCTTTAGGTAGCTTTTGATTTTCAACTAATCAATATGCTACACTAAGGCCATAAGTCAAGTAAGTTTTAGATACGGTTTGATTTTCAAGTAATTAATATGCTACCATAAGACGATAAATCAAGATTAGTAAGCTTACAATACACTCATGCCTTAAAATAGTACTACACAAGCCTAAGCCCACTAAGACATGAAAACTATTAGTTACCACTCAAGAAATGAATCAAGGACAGGAACCAAGATTAAGGATAAGGACAAGAATAAGAACCAAGAACCAGAACCTTAGAACTAAGGTCCTAAGATCAAGACCAAGACCAAGGTTAAGAACTTAGAACTCAAGGGCAAGATCTTGGGCTAGACCATAACAAGAACTCAAGAACAAAATCTAACGGCTTAAGTTCTCAAGTCAAGAACTAAAACATGACAAAAGAAAATGTGATATCCTAGCATACGTTAAGAATACGATTAAGAGCCTACAAGTAGACTACTTACTCAGAAAAGTTAAATTTTAGTATTGAACTTTAGCAAGAGACCACGCTTATTTTCACGGCTCTCAATAGAACAAATCCAACTAAATTTAAATAAACTACAACTACGAAAACTATTAGATAATGATTTTACACACCCTAGTATATCATCCTAGAGAGCATCAATGTTGTTTATTAAAGAAAAAAAATGGATCTAGGTTGTTAGACATTGACCGTAGAGAACTGAGCAATGTGATTGCGAAAAGTTAATATCCACTTTCATGAATGGATGATTTGTTTGACTAATTCTTGAGAATTAGAAACGAAGATATACCCAAGACTGCATTTAGAACTCGATACAGGTATTATGAAAACGGTAATGCCTTTTGGTTTGAGTAACCTACAGTATTTACGGATATGATAAACCAAATATTTATAGACTTTGTTGTCACTTTTGTTGTTGTATTCATTGATGGTATCTTGGTATATGCAAGTACAAATATAGAACATGAAACACATCTTAGAAAGGTTTTGACAGTGTTAAGGGCAAACAGGCTCTTCACTAAATTTTCAAAATGTAAATTTTGGATCTAACGAGTGTCATTTCTAGGACACATGGTGTTGAGGGAGGGAATCACAATAGACCCAACAAAAGGTAGAAATATTTCTTAAATGGTCTCACCCAACCACAGTTACAAAAGTATATAGGTCTTGGGATTGGTAGGTTATTTAGCTGATGTTTTTATTTATAAAGCTTGTGAAAAGAGCATCAAGAAACTTAGAGAAATTAGTTTCAGCTGCAAGGGACTGAAAATTCTGTGATATGAGGATGCTTCAAGAAAATGCATAGGTTGTATGGTGATGCAACACTAAACATTATCCCATACGGCTCCTATAAGTTAATCATAGGCTCTCAATTGACAATTGAGATTGGTGATGCACGGAGGAATATTGGCTAAAAAATTTTTGTAGATGACTTCAGGTATGTAAGAGAGAATATAGAGAAGGAAGTAAGTATATTTTGAAGCTGTTACGATATATATATATAGTTTCAGTTTACTAAATATAGCTTTAAAAGATTTAACCACCTATAAAATATAATCTATCAACTATATCTCTACCAAATCTTTACGAAATATCTACCATATATATCTTTACTAGATGAAATATCTAATCGAGTCTTGGTCATGTTTGAGAAAAAGTGTTTTAAAAACGTGAGTGAGATGCCTTAAAAACTATTTTTAAGAAAACAATGTTATAGGCTAAAAGCAAATAAGCAATGATCACAATTTTGATGCAAATAACCTTAGTATAAATAATTAATAGATTAGTCACCTCTCTTATAGTAAAATCTTGGACATTCTAGCCCTAGTAGGTGTAGACATGATTTTGACGACAGGTCATACACCCACGTACTGACACAAGACCTATCTAACATGTAAGCAAGTAAAAGAGGTTGGGACGGACATTCGACCATGGACATCACTTCCTGAACAAACATGATCAAGACATCCAACATACAGTCACAGGCAACACGCCTTGGACGAGCAAGACCGCGTGTAAACTAAAGGATCATTCTATCTAAACTACTTTATGCATATTCACAATCCATGTCTTGTTTTTCCTACCAAAAGAATGGAACCTATAGAAATAATTTACAGTAACCGATCGAAAAGCTATATTGGGTAAAGGTCTCCAATCAGCTGAAACTCGCAAATCGCCTCTATTTTTGCTTCCTTCTATACACTTATGGGCAACTAATCCTGCCTAGCCTAATTTACATTCGAACCTTCTCTTTCGTTTTCACCATTTGGAACAAACGAATTGTCAACATTCGAAACCCTTTCTTTCGAACAGAGGAAGAAGAAAGACGATGTGTAGATAGTCAAGTGCCAAATGCTGTAAACAATTCGCCGAATTGAAACTAAGAGAAACAAGAAGGGAGAGGCAAAGAGATGGGGTTTTGTGGTACCTGTGCCAAATCCAGTAAGTTTCAGTGGTTTCCAAATTCCAGCTTATGGCAGCCATAGCCAATGCAGTGAAACCTGCAGTCATAAAGCCCCATCGATATCTTCTGTACAGAGTCTTTAAAAGATTGTGCCCCCATGCTTTGATAGTTTCCCATCTGCACGAACATAAATAAGTTCCAAGTCAACATGAGTATAGCTCAATTAATATTGATTAGGACGTATGTTTTCCACTGGTTAGAATTTCTGTACTCCCTTCTGTTGTTAAACTCAAAGAAAAAAAACCCATCACAACGAACCATTTAGTTTCCAGAAGCAATACTAAGTAACCTCAGACGATACAACTTAGCAAACCAACAAGACAAGACCAAAAAGGTTCTCCCAAATAGGCCCTCAATTGATTATTATACTTACTAAGAAAACAGATTATCATACAAAATACCAAAAATCCAAAATAAAAAAATCATCTCAAGTAGAAAAGACTGTCACCTGTGAAGCACATTCAAAGAAATTTGCAGTGGAAAGGAGAACGATCTATACTTTGTCGATAACTCGATCAGCCATCCAATAAGAAGACCGAGTGCACCAATTGCTAGCACAATAGTGATATTGGAAGACCTGTAGAAGTTCAATATTTGGTCATCATAACTGATAGCTCTTTTGATCTACAGAAGGCAGGTCATGTTAAGCATTTTAGTTACCGCGTTGCCTTGGTTATAGCCATGAGAGCAGTTAGGATTGCAACAACGGTATGAATCACCCTTTTATAAACTTCGTCGATTGTGGCTAGGTACACGAAAGTGCTAACGACAGCCATGAAAGAGAGCCAGAAGTCCATAAACTGAAAATTATCAGGTCATTAGACCATGTAAAACAAGTACCCAATAACTGAACAAATACAAACAAACACCCATCATCAGATTGGTAGAGGTCTTCCGTGGTGTGGATTAGTTTCGTACAACGGTTCGTAATCATAGTATAAAATGTTATGGTAAGCTTAAAATAGGCAAAGATAGGGAAAATCTTGTACCTGTAATACTTTGAATGACAATGGACACCAAGTGCCCACATCACAAGCATGATATAAACCACTTGAAATTCCACTTGAGGTAAACAGCACCCACTCTGCTAGAGCCTGCAGGAACAAGTTTATATGGCTTGGAGAAAAGAAAAACCTTTTTGAAATTCAGAGAAAAACAAGAACATCATCATTAGATTTACCTTTTGTCGAAGAGCCCAAAAAGCGGGGAAAATGGCAGCAGCATTTGACGCGACGAGAGCAATTGATTGTTGCACGTGCCCTACATCAATTCCAAGCTAGGATCAGAGTTGATGTGGAACATAATTTATACATGAGTTGATACTTTTAGCTTAGAGTTCCATTATGAAAACTTTCTAAGAAACTTCAGAATTGATGACGAATTTGAAGTGACTTTTACCTCTATGATTTACAATCTCAACGCTGCAATCAAAGCCTCCGTGATTTCGATCACAGGAACAATAGCTGGAAGAAAAACAAAATCGGGATTCAGTTTACCAAACTAGTGAATTGGATAGCTAAAAGATCAGAGCACAAAAGTATGCAGTGTGAGGATCAATAAATCAAACCTATATGTTGCGGCTCCACTAGCATCAAAAGCATACTCACATCTTCCATGGGATGAACATCTGTTTGGACATCGTTCAAGCATGACCGACATAATAGTCTGATATTTGGCCAAACTTCTGTTGATCGGATGCCTTAATCCAAGAACCCAAGTTCCTTCACTAGCATATAAAATATGGAAATTGATATTTACATTACTTGAATTGTAGAGGGAAAGGAATGTTGAGCCACCACTGTTGCTGGTTTGGTTTTTATAACAGTAGTCCCAGTTATCAAGAGATGGTAATCCACCAAATCTAGCATAGACTTCATAATCCATTGTCTCAGTAGTTGATAATTGAAAGTTAATATTTCCTCCAGATGCACCTCGAGGAACATCCAAAACAAAATAAGTCCAAGCATACTTTTGTTCTCCATGATTTGAAGAGTTGCTTAGAAGGGGTTCAACAGCGAATTTCGGTTCTTTGAAGTACTGTTCTGTGATCGGCATAAAATATGATTCGAAGGGGGATGAACCTCTTCGGACGATTGCCTGCTGTCAAGCTCATCAATCAGATAATGAATCCATAAAACTTCTTCAAGAATCAAGAAAAATTGAAAAACACTAGATGCAAATGAAGGATATATGGTCTTACCTGGAGGACGTATCTGTTCCATGCACAATTAGGTCCAGTCTTTCCATATGGGCATTGAAGCACATATGATTCCATGGAATAACAAATTCTCACATTGTTGGCTGAAACGCTTTCCAGTTCTTTCGAAACATTAATAGGAACTATTGAGATATACCATCGACCGATTTTTGGAGAACGGATAATCAAAGGGCCTGTGTTTAAGTTACTGGAATAATCATGCAGGGCAACTGAAGGAATTGCACCAAGACGAGTGAAGCCCGTCAAACTAATTCCACCGACATAACTAGAGTTATCTGACTGTGTTAAGTTGGGCCTCACATTTGTAGCTGAAATGGTCAGCTCTTCCGCCACACCTTCCACATCCAAGTAGTATATTTTTGGTTCACCATCTCCAAGACAAGATGGTTTCAACGTACTCCTGCAGGCAACCAAACTTTCCCCTGTTTGGTTATATGACATAGCTTCTAAAATGTTTTCAGCAAGATTATGACCATCAAATAACGAGCATGAGAGCGGGTCAACTGTATGATTGCAATATTGCCCGAACATCGTGGAGGGTGAACACCCTTCCACTGTTACATTAGCAGTGAACGAATATGAAGACCCTCGGACTACCTGCATTGCAAGGAAACAAGTTTCTGTCTTTCATTTCCTTTGGTGCCATAAAAGAATGGTATTTTTCTCATCAGAAAAATATAAAATATACACTCAACTAATTAATAATCCAAAAATTTTGCAATTTGCGTGAGCGAAGGCACATACACATACCATCTTGGATTGCGTTCTTGACGACCCAATGCCATTGAAAAGGCCAAAATACCAGACTCCTGGAGGTATCTAAACAACTAAATAAACGATATCAGTATCACCAGCCAAACGCAAAACAAAGAGAAATGGCTCAAATCAGGGAGGTTTTAAAACCAAGGGAAGTTGAAGTCATTATAATAAAATTAGAATAGACATATTATTAGAGAAGCCAAAACAAAAGCAAGAAGGCATAATCTGATATTTGAATTATACTCTGAACTTTTGGTTTCCAAAAGAGGAACTCTACACTTCTAATTGAAAAACAAAATGATTCTCGATATACCTGCTCATTTGTCAGCTTTAATTCGATATATTGCTGCATGGTATAGCATTGTTCCAGATTTTTATGACCTTGGATTCCTTCAATGGAAAGGATGGTTAAAGGAGCTAACCCTGTTGCAGGAGAGAACTTCCAAACGTCAACATAAAATCATTTTAGACACTGTCCAGATAGCAGAGAAGTGAAATGTAACAGTCCAAGCCATTGCTAGTAGATATTGTCCGTTTCGGTTTGTTACGTATCGTCAGCTTCATGGTTTTAAAACGCATCTATTAGAGAGAGGTTTCCACACCCTTATAAGAAATGTTTCATTCCTCTCTCCAACTGATGTGGGATCTCACATGAATTGTATCTTTCCACTTTTAAATCAAAGATAGCTGGAAGTCAAATAGTAGTAGTATGCTTCAAAAATGGGGATACAGCCCTCATAACCTCGAATGGTTAGCGTAATTTAGAGTGGTTAGCACCTATCTTTCAAGTCCTGTGTATGGTCTTTGAGGAAACTGTGTTTTAACCTCTTCACATTACTTCCTTTTATTTTCAAGGAAAGAATAACAACCTTAAAAGATGTTACTGAAAATACATCCTAGAAATAAAATGTTCCATGTCAAACACAAGGCTAAGAAGAATTCATTCAGACAGACTAGAACAACTAAGTGACGCTTGTTCAAGTGTAGCTAACTCAAATTACCTGAATCTATTATGGAAGTATTCGAAGCATCAGGCAGCGGGGGACTGCCTTCTCTGAAGCAAATTATAGGCAAAGCACGCTTCGGTATCTTTCTTGCTTTTGTGATGTCCTGAAAGCAATTTGCACCGTAAGAACAGGAAAACCGAGAGGTTACGGGATATTTCAATGGTAACAATTATTAACACTTTCAAGGTGAAGGTATCGTAAAGTTTCCAATTAGAAAACAATTACGGATATAACCGCAGCAGCAAGTTGAAATAGATCAAAGTGAGAAAATAAAATAAGCACATGACAATTGAAGTCATAGGATAATCATCAAACACTGGACTTTAAGTAGTTCTACTTTCAAACTTCGTATGCATACTTACGAGATCTACGTCTGAGTTCAATGAAATAGACACCGATGAGAACCATGGCGGCAACTCAACTGGAACAGGGAAAAAAACAAACAAAATTACAAACTTAAAGAACACTCAAAGAAGATATTGTATAGACTCACTTCAAACAACAAACTATACGCGTTAAACGACTTGATCTAAAAGTAACATCAATTTGCTAAAAAAAAAAAAAAAGTCAAAAGAAGAAATGAAAACTTTCAACAAACAAAACCCTAATTTCTAGTCCAAAGAACACAATGAAATATGGCTTGAACATCCTTCCCTGAGACCTTTGATCATTGTCTCCATTGTTAAACGGCAGAAACAGACCTGACTTTGTATCAGTACATCAACTCCCTTGTTTAATGAACTCAAGTATTGTAACTCATCAATATACATTGTTGAGGATTCAAAGTTGAAGAATATAAAAAACGATTCGAAGTCGAAAGTCACATAATTCTCAGATCCAAATCAGCAACACAAAATTCAGGATTACATTAAACTCAACAGCGATCTATTCAAACAGAACACAATCATAAACTAAGAGCCAAACAGAATTCCACAATCATAAACGAAAATAAAATCCGAGGCAACTTCTTCACTAGCATATAGCAAGTAAACAAAGAACTACGAATTCAACAAAATTGTTCAAGACACTGACACCATGAAGCAATCAATCACTCAAGAATGCATCAAAGTCCATCGGGAAAAAATCCAGAATAGCTTAAAAAAAAAAAAAAAAAAAAAAAAAAAAAAAAAAAAAAAAAAAAAAAAAAAAAAAAAAAAAAAAAAAAAAAAAAAAAAAAAAAAAAAAAAAAAAAAAAAAAAAAAAAAATCGGAACACGCACCTCTAAAATACCGTAGCTGAAATGGCTGCAACCGGGTATGAGGGTACACAAGGCTAGAAACTGTGAAGGCATTGTGAGGAGCAAAATCGTCGAACGATTCACAGTGTGCAATGAAAATCGAGAACAGAACGAAAAGACAAAGAATCAAACTGACAAGAGTGTGAAGAATCAAATCCGAACCCATCTTGAGAAAATTACTCTTGAAACAATTCGGCTCCAGTAGGATCATTCGATTACGGGTAAGGGGGAAGCAGGATTCTAAAAGATGAAATGATAGAGATTTTGGGTTATTCACATCGTGAGCACTGAATTTCTTTGATCTGGAGCCGTAATGGAAATTTTGTTAACACACAGATTTAGAACCTTTACAAAAAATTTGGAGTTTCAAATCATTTGTTATTTGTTAGAACATCGTTGTAACTTCTACATTTGGTTCATAATTTTTTTAAGTAATTTTAAATATCTATCACAGTTATTTTCTTTTTTTCTGTTTAAATATTCTTAATACTTTCTATTGAATATATACAAATATCTTTTTGGAACCGTTATATATTTTACCATCAAATTAATAAAAAAAATCTTTAAATTTTATATTTTATCTAAAAATATATTTAAATAGTTTTAAAGGGTTATATCAAAAATGTTCTCGAATAAACTTTAAAAGTAATATTAATACATTTTATCTTTATTAAAAAAAAATTCAAAAAGATTAAAAAATGTCTATCGACTAGATTATCTACCGACTTTTTGATATTATTTGAAAATTCTAAAATATTTTTTAAATAAAGTACTAATGGTAAATATATTTTTGAACTTTTAAAAAAAATAAAAATAAAAATGTTTCCAAAATTAAAATATTAATAAAACTATTGAAAATTTAGAAGTGTTTTTCAAATACTTATAATAAAAGATTCTTAAATATTTATGTATATGTTTAAAAGATTCTTAAAATCTTTTAATTTTATAACTCATAAAAAGTAAAATAAATAATAATAATAAAATAACAAAACAAAGTTATAGTGTGTTGATGTATGTTATGTGATGATATATGATGTTATGTATGTATGTGATGTCCTAATATGTCTTATATGAAGAAAATGAAAAACGATGTATGTCATGCTATATTTTGTCATGTGAAACTTTGCTGTAGATTATATGATGTAAGATGAAAGACATGATGATTGTTATGCATGCATGATGCATCAATGAACTCATACATAGATAAAAGGAAATAGGAAATATTTTTAAGTTAAGTTATGATTTTTAAATCATTGGGACCTCATGCATTATGTATGTCGCGTGCATCGGGATACTTCTCCATTATGTTATGTTAGTATGAAAGCGTACCTTCGATATTTATGTTCGTCTTGATATCATGCACGTATTTTCCCTTTTGTGGTGTTTGGCGACACATTAGCGCGTTGTGCTCGATCAAGCCAAAATTCAAGTGGTACGTATATGAGTTCGTCTGGTGGGTCTATGTGAGCATACGTGGGTTGTGTATGAAGAATTAAGCACATCCAACCCTGCCCAGAACTGGAAAGAGCTCTCAAGGCTAGTCTACAGTTTTAATTTTGTTTCTAATAAATTATTGATATATTTAAACCTTAGGTTCGAAAACCGAACCACCATCTTAGTTGTTACTTCAGAAACCCAACCTCAACCTAACCGCCATCTCTGCCACTACTACAGTTTCTGCCACTAAGTATCACCGAAAATACTATTTGAAGAGGAAGATGATAAGTTTAAGCGAAGCTTGTTATTTTATGTCAATTTCAGCTCTGATGGTACGGGATCGCGTATGGTGACTCCCACATTTTTAATATAGGAATTGAGACACTAAAGTTAGAAGTCAACATGCCAATCATTAAGTGGGACTACATTAGATGAAAATTAAATTCCCAATTTTTTTAATTATAACTTTTATTAAGAATTATAAAATATAACTTTTAGGTGACAAGATAAGGAGCCAAAATTGATAGAGACTTAAAACTTACCATTTTTCATGCATCTAGGTGGTATTGAGATGTACTAGAATCTGAGGCGACAGCTAGTAGCAAAGAATGAAAAAGAATATAACCGAGTTTGTAAGTAAATTTCAAGTTTATTGATATATTAAGACACTGAAATAGAAAACGATGACTTACATTCCATAGTGGAAAAGAGAGAAAATAGTAATGGAATTCAGTGTGGAACTACAATGGGTTACACAATATTATTTGCAATCCTTTAGTTTCTTTCGATTTTAGCAATGATAGAGTGTGGTTGTCCATAGTTAAGACTAGAGGGTAAGTTAACAAGTCTATCTAGTGGGCCCAGGTGTATGTGCGCGACCAGACAAGTATTGTACGTCATATTCTATCCTATAATAAAAGTAGAGTCGGACCATAATTGTGAATTTAGGTTCCTAATGACTAATGATTATGATATATATGGTATGTAAATGCATTTTCTAGAGGAACTTTTCTTTTCTTTTTTTCTTTTCTTTTTTTTCTTTTACAAGGGAGTTTTTTTTTTATGTTGTTCTCAAATATTGTTTATCCTACTCTTTCGACCAATAATAATAGTAATTAGAGATGTCCATCGCCTCTCTTGTGCATAATTTCCCTTTTACAATATTATTTTTATTTAAAGATGTAAATAAAAATCTAAAATAATATTCTCGAATAAAAATATAATATATCACCCTACTTTCTAAAAAAAAAATAATAAATATTAAAGCATAATCTTCTTCAAAAAAGTTTTATGGTAGCTTTAATTTAAATATTATAGTCTTAAATGTTTAGAAGTAACCTTTAAATAATAATATGTCTAAGAATCTCCAAATTTCGCTGCTTTGACCTTACTTTCACCATATTAGCCAAAATAAAGTATTTGAAAATAAAATGATAGACCCATTTTTAGAAAGTCAGGAAAATATAATTAATTATAAGACAAAAAAAAAAATTAAAAATTAAAAACCTTATTTATCAGTTTGTAATAGAAAACACATATATTTATTTTTATATGTAAAAGGTGGAGATGGGGTGGGACAGAGTCGGGAATTAGACAAAGACAGAGAATACATTCTCATATCCGACCTTGTTTATCTAAGGATGAGAACTCTTTTCTCACTTTTATTCTCCGTTTAAATTCTCGGCCGAAGCCTTGGGAAAAAATGAATTTAATATTTATACATTAATTTCTATATATATAATTATTATTATGTGTGTATAAGGAAATAGGAACAATTTCCAAAACAATTTCAATTCCCCTAGTTCAGCCATTGAAAGTTTGTTGTTCACAGTCAATAGCTGCTCTCAAATTTACCAAATAAATTTACTGAAATATTTTAAGTTAATTTTTTTTTTTTTTTTAAGGAGAATGGATAAGGAAAAAAAAATCAATTTAATCGGTTGAATAAAACTTGACAAATCATATTTAGTATTATTATGAAAAATAAAAAGGAAAAAGAAAAAAGAAAAGGTGATTATGATGGTGAGACAGAGAAAGGATGAGAAAAAGCAGTTTCATTTACAAAAGTAGTTAGAAATAACAAAAACAAAAATAGTGAATCCCTTCTCAAATCTCAAATGGTTGGGCTGCCAACTATTTCTTTTTTCTTTTATTCTTGAGACGCCTTTCATGAAAATATGTCTTTTAAAAACAAATAAACATACTTCAATAATTCAATAACCTTAATTTTCAAAAAAAAAAAAAAATATATATAAAATCAAAATGACTATGAAACTAGACCTAAAACTCTTTAAAATTCAATAACATATTAACCACGATTTAAAATTTTAGAAACCTACCAACTAAATTTAAAATTCCAGAAATTAAGAACTTAACTAGGCACCAGTATAGAAATTGAGATACGAAACTTGTAAGTTAACTAATATTCATGAAAAGAAATACTAGATCTCCACGATTCACTACACATTTACATCATCAAGGTGGAATTTGCTGTCTATGTGGACCCAATAAGGTAATGTAGGCCCATTCTTTTATTAATATTCATATATGGAAAATTTATCACTTGCCACGTCATCTATTACCATAAGCCCCAAAAATTAAAAAAAAATTCATATAAAAAAGCAACCCAAACTCCATAAATACAACATGTATATAATATATTATTATTATCAACAGAAAAAAAAAAAAAAAAAGGTCTAAAATTACCAAACTACCCATTTATTTGACTAAACACAATGTCTCGGTCTCCCTAAAACCCACCCTATGAAATCTCCTGCTGTCCACGTTCATGAGCTACGCTAAACTCACCCACCCCGCCACGCAATGCCACAAAACAGACAGCATCATCGTGGATTACGCAGAGAATAACAATATCAAAATTAAAGGTAATTAAAATAATAATAATAATACTAATAATATGTTACACAATAAAAATAAATAAAAATAAAAAAGAAAAAGAAAATCCTTCAACCCTAACATACAATTGCGAGGCCCTCGATAAAAATTTCCCACCACCAAAACCAAATTCCAAATTCCAAATTCAAATTCCAATCCCAATTCCAATTCCATTTCCATTTCATTCTTCCTTCACATCAGCGACTTCAACGACCGCGCTTTCACCGGCTTCCTCATTCGCTTCTTCCCGCCGTCGCCTTCCCCGTCCTCCTCCTCATCGTCGTCGTCGTCGTCCTCCTCCTCTTCCACATAATCCAAATCCGCGCGGTTAATTTCCGACGGCGTCGTTGCATTGCTCCGAATTCCCATCGTATTTTCGCTCGACCCTCCCCCTCTCTCCCGTCTTTTCTTCCCCCATTGTGGCCCGAATCCAGAATAATAATAAAACTCGTACGGATTCGATCCACCGACCACCGCCGCACTAACCGTCTTCTTCGAAACCCTCGCCGGCCGCGTTAACCGCCAGGCCGTATCTCCGGTGGAGGATTTCTTTGTACGCGAGCAATTATTGGGAGTATGATAATAATTATTCTCACTAGACCTAGGAAGTGTACGGCGGCGGTGGTGGTCGGGACTAAACGAAGAATAATCTTCCTCTCTAATTTGTTTCTTACATTTCCAACTGCTATCGACTAATTTCTCGAATCCGTCTCCATTTTCATCCAAATCTTCACGATTATCCCCATCCTTGTCTGCCATTACTTCACTCTCGTCCGTAATAATTATATTATTGTTCGAAAATTTTGCTGACCCCTCCATCGACGCGACGCTGTATTCGTATATATAAATAAATCTCAAACACGCAAACAGCGCGGACAGATAATAACAACTCAGACTACCAGACCATTTCTCTTGGAAGAAAAATTTTCAGATTATCGTATGAGCATTTACTCATTCACTCAACAGCGACTATTTACGAATCACAGAAAAGGCACAAAGAATGCACAACAATAAAAACAAACAGAAGAAATCACAGAAAAACTCACCTATCGACGGCTCCGATGGAATCGCCTAAGCTAGCATTTTCGACGAAGCTATCTTCAGCCTCCTCCAGCTGTAAGAACGAAACATGGAAAAATAGAGAAGAATGAGGAAAATTATTAGGGTTTAGGATGAACCCTAAAGTGGAAGGGGAAAACGAATAACCCTAATGAAAGAGGGAAACGGAAGGAGGAGGGAGAAGAAAAGAGAAAAGGAAATTAATAGCAGATCTATAAAGAAGAGAGTGAAAAAAAGAACAAGAGAAGGAGATTGAAGATTTAGAAGATTAGAGAATAGAGAATAGAAATCTCTCCATCTCTGTATTAATTAAAACAAACCTGGTTCGTGGCGTGTTGGTGGAGAGGAATCACATCCCATGGCGACTGGTTCAACTGACAAACGTGCGTCTGAAGACGAACCTCAGGAACCGACTCCACAGCCAAAAACAACAGTGGCGATAACTTCGCGTTCTTCCGGATCCTCATGGCGGAAGAAAACCGAAAGAAACGCAGATTCCTTCCAAAATACCCAAAACCAAAACCAAAACCGCCACAACAAATTATACAAATACACAATCCAGAGAGGAACGCGGCTTCGTCTTCAGCGCAGCTTTTCGCCTCTTCCGTCTGCAATTTTCTCAGTGATTTTCTCTCATTTTCTCGGGAGAGAAAATCTTCGGGTCTCTCTCTCTCTCTCTCTATCGCGCTTGTTTTTTTTTTTTTTTTCCTCTCTCGCAGATCTCACGCAAAACTCGATAGTCAGGGTTTAACTTTCTGTTGCTTTCTCTGCCCTTCATATGTATTGATCTGTTAATTTCCTTTAGACAATTATACCCCTCCGTGTCCCCTTTAATTACAGGGGTAAATCCGTTTTTTTCCTTCTTTTTGGAGGAGAAAAGAAGAAAGCTGCCGCTATTACACGTCACCAAACTTGTCCAAACAAAACTGATTATTCAAACATTATTTATATAATTTATAATTTTTCTCAACTATAAGAGAGTATAATCCTCTGCGTCCGCTTCCACTGGAAACTGCCGTTATTCAATGAAAAGCACGTATTGTCTTCATCGTTATTGGGAATACGATACGAACGGTTCGCACCGGATAATTGCTCGGTGATAAATTGTGGGAGCGGATTGGTTTACAAAATATGTGCGTGTATTTTTTGAACCAGATTGAATTCGCGAAACCTAACCATGTGAACGTGGGGGAGCGTGCAACACACTGCTTTGAACTGCGCGTGGTATGAGGAATGCCGGACACAATTTGGTCCACATTCGAAAAGGTTCGAAGCAAGTAAAAACTAGGTCACCCATTGTGTTAATTTGTATCTAAACCATACTTAAAAAACTTTTTAAATTGCATAATAATTTTTTTTTTAATTTTGTTTTCTATGGGTAGAAATTATTTTTGACCCACCCGAAGTTTTTAATTGGTTAGGTTAGTGATCCGAGCAACTCGAATACAGTTCTTAATCCGACACAAATATTCTACTTTCGAGTTGTCGAATTATTTTTTTAATTAGTTAAAAAAATATTATTTATTTACGATAATAATTACCATCTAATAAAATTCAAACCTCAAACCTTAAACATTAAACATTCCCAAGTAACAACACATTCTTACCATGGTTTACATTCATAATAATCTTTAAAAAGTATGGTAGGATAGAGTTGGATTGAATTGTAACTTTATTTTAAAAGTTGGTAGGATTGTCACAAAAAAAAAAAAAAAAAAAAAAA